AAAAGAAGCAGTGAAAATTGAGAACACCAACTATCTAAAGGAACGAGATACAATGCAACACAAAATTCTCCAAAAAGATCCAATAACCAAGAATATGGACTCTATAAAAAATTGAGTCTCATAAACAACGATCATATATTATTAGTTTTGAATTTTATATAATGAAAAATTAAAAACTTTGCAATATATAACATATAATGACTTCGTAGTAATAAAATTAACAGATGACAAAGAATATTATAATATAATTCTAATTCGTCTCCTCTCAAGTATTTTAGCAAATGATATGTTCCTTAATATTGTCTCACTATTTTCTTTTGGTTGTCATTGTTAAACAATCAAGAAAGGATATTTATCTTGAATTTTTTAAGCATTATGCATGAACAAAAAATTGGATAATAAAAGCATTAACGAAGTTATTAGACACATAAATATTTTATATCCGAACAAATGTGAAATATATTATGATAAATAACTCTAAAATTATTGCAACAACTCAGATGGTCAGTGATTTGCAAACAATAGATTGTATGGTTCGTCTATCTTCCATATAAATAACATTGAAAAGGGAATGTCGGAGCCTGATCAAAATATTTTAAAATATTTGAATAAAGTTGTCACTTCTTGATAGAAATATTTACAATCTCATTGATGTATTGTGCTCACACATATGTGTAACTACTTTAGAGTGCATACTTTCATGTAATGTGATGATTTCAAAAAATTATTTAGTATCTCGGGAGAAGTACATGTAACCAAGATTTTGGAAAGTAAACTTTTATTTAGAAATGAAATTCATTTCCACCGCATGTGGGGTAATGCCTTCACGTTGTAGATACTATTTGTCTATACAAAGAAAGAACAATGAAGTATTTTGCAATACTACTGATGTATTGGGATCCAACCGATATGAATGTTTCTTATGAAAATGTCAAAATAAAAATAAAAGAAAATCACTATTGAATCATCTAACATAAATAAATAAAAGAATTAATGTATCCATAATATACATCAGATCCTTATTTTGTTATTTAGTATTTTTTGTTTTCCGTTGGTAACTCATTCTTCATACATTTTTGTTGGAGCGTAATATGTTATTTCACTATTTTTATATTAGGAAATCATTATGTTATTTTTTTTTTAAAAAAAAATATATTAGGAGCTCATTTGTTCTACATTATATTTCGTTTTTTGCAACGATATATTTAATAAATAAATAAATTAATTTTACTAAAGTTAAGTGAAAAAAAAAAAAATCAATGTTACATGTGCACTTCACTAGTGAAATATATGGGGAAAGGATTATTGGATTATGGATCTTGAAAATACAAGAAAATAACAAAACAAATACAGGTGCCGTGGCGGAGGAGGGTCTGTCGTCTTGTTGGGTCTTTTGTGGTGGCGAGTCTCGACTATTGACTGACAGTGGGTGGTCGGGTGCTCTGATCGGTGGTGTGATTTTCCTGATTCCTGTCTGTGTTTTAGAGTTGGGCCAACAGGGGCCACAACGGGGGTGGCCGCGAATGCCGGTTGTGCAGGGGAAATCCTCGGTGCTGGTATACTGGTTCCGGTGGTGGTCGACTGGGTAGTTTTCGAGTATTCAGTCAGGTTCTAGTTAGCCCAGTAAGGGAGTTTCTAGTTTCATGTATGGGTTGGGCCTGCTCGAGTGGTTGCCTTTAGGTGTCGGTGCACTTGGGGCTCTTAGGAGCGGTTGCTAGCTGTTTGGAGGGCTTTGGTTTAGTCTAGTTATTAGTTTTTTCATGTGTTTTTTGGTTTTTTTTTTCCTTCTCCCGTTTGGGAATGCATTTCTTGTATTATCACGTGTGTGAGTTTTTGTATTCTCCTTGATGTAGTCCTCTCTAGTGGTGTAAACGATCCAAACAAAATCGAGCTTGGGCTGTTCAAGCTCGTGTTCGTTCGTTTATTTTTCGACCAAAAAATCGTGTTCGAGTTCGTTTGTTTAATTGTTCGTCAAAGTTCGAGTTTTTTCGTGTTCGAATAATTTAATATATAAATCTTTTAAATATGTGTGATTAACTCGAAATTTGTTCGTTCGAATTCGAAAATAAAAGAATAAAATCAAAATATTTTTATATTTTAGATATTTATTAAAAATATTATGCAAAATATATATAAAATAAATTAAATAATATTAAATTTTAGTTTTTTTATTAAAAATATTAAATAAATATATAAAAAATAAAATAAAATTATATTAAAATAATGCTCGCGAACATAATCGAACGCTCACGAAAAGCTCGTGTTCGTTCGATTGTTAAACGAGCCTAATTTTTTGTTCGAACTCAGCTCGATTAACAAACAAACGAGCTTTTGCCAAATATAAACGAGCTCGAGCGAGCTTTTGTTCGTGAACGTTCGGTTCATTTACAACTCTAGTTCTCTCAACTAAATTCAGCTGCATAGTTGATTTATTCACCTATTTCGTTTTCAAAAAAAAAATAAAATAAAATACAACTAATTACCAATGTATTCTTTCCGCGGTGAGAAAACAAGTGAAGGGACGCTTTTAGGTCTCTTCGTCCATGATTTCCCCAACTCAAGAAGTTAAAACCCTAGCACTTTATCCTTTTTGCCCAAACGCGCTGATACGCGAGAAAACGATGTCGTGACCGCGTTTCTAATGGAGATTTCTCTCACAGCTTCACAGATTTGAAGAGCCGTTGGAAAACTCGCTCGGCCCCATCTCTATTCCCTCCATTTTTCTCCGAAGCTTCAAACAATCGGCGCCGGCCGGCAAAAGTCGTCCTTCTCATCAAGCCAAAATCTCTTACGAATTTGGGTGAGGTCCATTCTAGTTAATTCATCTTATTGCTTGGGTTGAATTTGAGCTCATCTCCCATTTATGGAGCCATCTATTTCTTCAAAATTGTTTTTGTAGAGTGTGATGAAATGGGTTTTAATTGTATCTATTTGTTGATTTTTTATTTTTTTTTCGATGTGGCTAGCAATTGGAAGCTATGAATTGATTAAGGCATGAAATTCAATTTGTATTCTTTTGGTTAATCACAAAAAAAAAAAAATCCCTTAATTAGTGGTGTGTATGTTATGTTGATCACTTGGTGTTGTTTGCGTTGCCAATTTCTAGATCGAGCTGTTATAGAGAATCAAACTTTCTTGCCGATTTTTTGGCCTCGCTCGCGGCCAAAGGGCCTGGCGGTTTTCACCGATAGGATAAGCCTCCTTCGGGAGCAAATGTTTGGTTAGCTCATGATGTGATAGGAGTGTCTTATTCGCGTAGTGTGTTAATATCGTCATAGTTAGGCTTTTGCCTCCTTCTCTTGTACCGAAAAAAAAAAAGAAAAAAAAAAACTTCTTACTTTATCTAGTGTGGAAAATGGAAATCCACATGCTGTAACTATTCCACCCAAACATTTATGTCTTGGTTATTATATTGAACTCTACTTTGATGATCTTTTAAGCTGCCCCCTTCTCATATTGTACTCTCAACTCTCCGTATTAAGCTGATAAATACTCGTTGAGGATGAGTATCTCATTTTCTGTAATTACTTAGTGTTAAGTTGATACTGTCACTTGAATTGAAGATGGTTATAAAACATACTAGAGAAGTTTTATAATAAGGATGAAAAAAGAACCTAAGTTTCCTCCATCAATTCTTGAATAACTGATTCATAGAAAGAGGATTACAAGTTATTTGGTTCTTTTGCCAGACATTTATGTATATCACTATATCTTTGTTTGTACTTTTCCCAAAAAAATATGCGGTTGTTGACTTGTCGAAGGAACTTTCAGATTAACAACCCCAATTCGGTCATCCATATTTATCTATACCCGGTTGCTTTTCATTAAGTAATAAACAATTTATTTTCTATTATTTCACACTTTATCCAGCCTAAATGGATGCTGGAACGAGTTACACCCTGCACCCGGGGCCCATTGACAACTCCGTGCTCACCCTCCAAGACCACCACCGGTCCACTGACATATGGAACGGACACGATTTCGAGCCCCTGACCTGCAGAAGATGCGATGGCCATTTCTGGCGTCTAGATGCTGTGGCCCCACGCGTCCAGCAGATGATGCTGAAGTCGGGCTTCTACGGAGTCTACAAGGCCGGACGCATCCGCCTTGATCATGCCCTGATCACTGCTCTGGTCGAGCGGTGGAGACCCGAGACCCACACCTTCCACCTGCCGGCTGGAGAAGCCACCGTCACCCTGCAGGACATCTCGGTCCTTTGGGGCCTACCCGTGGACGGGGACCCGATCACGGGGGTTGACACCAACCGCTCAATGGACGAGTGGCAGGACATATGCGGCGAACTGCTGGGTTTCAGGCCACCCCCGGAGGACTTTGACCGCGGTCGGCTCAAGATCAGGTGCCTGCAGGAGAGGTTCAAGATGCTCCCAGATGATGCCTCGGACACGATGGTGGAGTATTATGCCAGGGCGTACATCTTGCAGCTGCTTGGGGGCCAGTTGTTGTCGGACATGTCTAATAATAAGGTCAAGCTAATGTACTTGCCACTGCTTAGGGATTTGGAGGTGGCCGGGAGGTTGAGCTGGGGCAGTGCTGTTCTCGCTTGCCTGTACCGAGCTCTATGCCGGGCTACTAAACCAGAGACGTCTGATATATGTGGACCTCTCGTGCTTCTACAGGTATTCTGGATTATGTGAATGAAGATTTGCTTGATTGCTATTTTCCTGGTCCACGAAGTATGTATGATAGCGATTTTGGCTCTGTTGAAGTTTTGAAATTTTAGTTGTGCATGCTTTAAGTTTTTATGAAATTTGTGGTTTGTATGATTTTGGTGTTAGTGATTGGCTGTTCCAATAGTTCATTTATTCAAGAAATGACCCCCCAAATTACCTAAATGGCTATGGAAGTTACAGGACTAAAGCTCCTTTAACCCTTGAAGGCGGAGACCATGAAGGATCTCCTTGAGAGTTTTGACAAACATATCTAACCTTTATAAGATGTGGAAATAAAATTGCCATAGAAATAGATGAAAATATTGAGACTTATATGTCTGCTTACAATTATACTAGATTTGGGCATGGGAGAGACTGCCTTTCATTCGACCTGGGAGATTAACGCCCAGACAGCAGCAGCAGCAGCAGCAGCCTGATGCAATTGCTGGGGAGCCTCCTTTGCCTGCTCCCCCCTATGGTTCCAGGTATACGTGCGGATATGCAAATAATTCACGTAAGTGATAAGTTAACTTGTTCCCCAACCAGAAGAATTTGTTGGTCGTAGGTGGAATATTGGCTTCAAGCTGGAGAGTGTGGGAACACATGTTCTAGTCCTGTACAGGGACTTACTGGACAACATGAAGGATGACCAGGTTCTTCCATGCATTCCTGCATTTAATTAACAAAATATCCTTGAGTTCAGTGTAATAAAAAACATAAAATGCTGCTATCTTTGAAAATTACAAAATGCCCCTTAGGAAAAGATGGTAGCTCCCTCCCTCCCTCCCTCTGTGACTAGGGATATTATTTTTAAGTTCTGACCAAATATCATTTCCTCCAGCATGTGAAATTTATTGTGTTTTTTGTAGTTCATATGGGAACCATATTCGTTAGATGTGTTGGGCATCCTACCCGAATACTGTCTGTCAGGAAGGAGAATCTGGCAGACGGTGGCCCCATTGATATGCTTCGATGTGGTGGAATTCCACCACCCGGACCGTGCCCTACGTCAGTTTGGTCAGCAGCAGCCGATCCCTGCTGCCTGTGATACCATCCCGGACATCCATTTCACTGACCGCCGTGGGCGGCAGAATTATGACTGGGTGCAGCACCACCGACAGTTTGTGGACATGTGGGCCAGACGTGAGGCACGAGTTGTGACAGCCCCTCCAATCGAGTGCCCCATGGATCAAAGTGATCCTTACATGATGTGGTACCGGAGGATTACCCGGTTGTTGATCGGTAACCCTGCTGCTCGTCCTAGCAACGGCTACCAGGGAGGTGGAGGCGCAAAGGAGGCCATGGTAAAAAAAAAAAAAAAAAATGATATTTTATCCACTCAGTAAAACAATGATTAATTCATTTTCGTAGCTGTAGAAAAATGATTTCAATTGACTGACTACTTGAGGCTTTCTTCATGATTAATTCATGGATATATCAATGCGAGTAGCTGATGATTCTATTGAAAAAGATATACTTTGCATGGAGTCCCCTAATTACCTGTTAGAATTTTCAAAACCAACCTTAGTTCTGGTCAACCTCCGGATGACTATGTGCATTACACAAACCACCCTTTAGGTTGTCAGTGTAAGCAATTTTTTCCGTATGGCCAAAATATTAAAGAAACAAACTTAGTATTACTTACAATTAAATAATAACACTAGGTAATAAATCGTATTATTAATTAAAACAATCAGGCAATTCCTCCCATTCTTTGCCCCCCGCCCCTTCATAAACCAAGTACATATGGAATGTTGTTCAGGCCCAGAGCTTGCAGAAAATATACCACCTGGTATCAGATGCCTTACATCAAGGCTGCGAGCTCTCAGGGGAAGAAGTCCTTAGGGATATCCTCGATGTCTGCACATACTCTCTGAGAACGGCTCACGAGGGCCACCGCCTTCTCTCCATCCTTCCAGACTTGGGCCCGTCATCTCCAGCTACATCATTGTCCATCCCGCCCAAGGCTCAGAGAGGCAGACAAAGGAAGAGAGGTGGGTTTCTAGGTGGAGCACCTCTCGAGAACCGAAAGAGGGCTTCATATATTCCTGCTACAGTGTCCACACCATCATTAGGCATGATGCACTCGCCTATGCCGTCAATTACTATGCCGGACACTGGAGTAGATACACCTCAGCAGTGGGATTCCTCCCTCAGCTTATCTGAGTTCCATGATACTCCAGATTCGAATGCAATGCAGTTGGATCCTGAAGCATCAGGTTTGGTTTTTTTCCTTTTAATAGATGGAAAATAATTTGAGACTGCTTGGTAACATGAAAAATAATTTTAGCAAGGAAAAATATACTGTCTGTGTGTGTGTGCGTGGATGCATGTGTGTGTTTTTTCCTCCGCTTAATCAGAATCTTAAACGGTCGATGCTTTAGTTTCTGATTGTTATTTCGTCTTTGGCAGACACTAAAGACCCATTTCTTCAGGCCCTCGGGAAGATCCGGGACATCTGCGCATTCACATTAAGAACAAACGCTGTTGAAACCGCAGCGCTGAAGCAGGAGGAGGTGGCAATGGTGGCAGCAGTAGCAGTCGGTCCTAAGACGAAGCACTGCAAGCCCAGGAGGAGAGGCGGGATGAGCGGAGCCCACACAGTCGGACCGGGAGCGTACTTTGCCTCCACCCCCGAGCAGCCCTCGCCTACAGAGTCTACTCAGCTCGACAATGGCTCCCTGTCACGATCCCAAGACATCCCCCACGAACAGAATGCTGCCTGCCACCATCCATTTGCGGCAGTCGAGCAAGAGGACAATCTGCAGTCGGAAATGATAGAGCTAGACACCATCACTGGAAGCAGGGAGTCCTCCCCATCGGCAGCCGTTGACCCGGGCACGAAGGCCAATTATGTGTCTTCACGGCATGATAGTACACAGGAGGTCACTGTACAGGAGGAAGCTGATGGCAACTTAGAAGGTAGCAACACCAAAGAGAATGAATCGAAGCCCGATGGCGCCAAGAGTGTTAATGTGGGGCCTCGCTCGGCGGAGTTGGTTTCATCAGCTAGTTGTTACAAGGGAGAGGGGAATGGAGGGAAGAGGAAGGAGGGGGCTGTGGATGAGGTGGGGTCAGCAGAAGTGGTCACAATCGGGCAGACTGCGACTGATGATGACAGTGGGAGATCATTGTCTTCAGAGTATGTTTTTGAGGGCGGGGTTTGTAGTAGTGTGGTTGGGGGAGCAAGGGATGATGTGCAGAAGAAGTACAAGAGGCAAAGGCGCTCCATGCAGAGAAACTAGCTCCAACTGTGTCACTTGAACCAGCACAGATGCAGTGAGTTGCCCAAGGTTGTGTGTTAGGAATAGGATCATGGATAATATTTATGAATAATTTTGACAAGGTAATTCAATTTTTGGTCATTACACAGGTCCATTTTATGGGAGCGTAATATTAGTATATTGTAAGTTTGTATGGGAGCGTCCATTTACTTTTACACTAGCTATTCAACTTGCTAATTTGTGGAATATTTTAATATTGTGTGTTTATATGGGAGCGGCCATTTACTTTAACACCATGTAAATAATAATAGTACTTATAAATATCTGGTAATACAAAATTGTTGTGGCATATAGTAGGCTAGTATTTGCAAACTTTGACAAAAGTTTGTAGGAAGAGTATCATAAAATTGTAAGACATGCTCTAGATCTCCATCAGTTAAATCTAATCTATTAATTGCACACAATTTTTTTTTTAACTATTAATTGCACACAATTTTTTAGCCATATGATGCCTGTGATATTTTCTTCACTTTTTTCTGCCTTCCGCCTTAGCTTTCCTCTTCGTTTCCCTCAAAGCTTCCCTCTTTTCTTCTCTGCAAATCAACAAAAGAAGAGAAGTAAGAACTAATCGAAATGTAAGGAAAAACGCCTTTTGGTGCATGTGCATATAATTCTTCCTGGAAGACCATTAAACTTCTTTATTACAAACAACGATGTCTCGAAACTACAGCAATATACCTGATTTTTGCAATTTCCTCTCTGGATGGTGGTTTCTTCTTCTCTCGTTTCTTATTTTCGGGTGCCTTATTTTGTTCTCTTTGCCCATTGCTGCTCTTCTTGTTCTCTTTTGCTTCAGCCTTTTTTCTCTTCTGACGCTTTTCACTATCTTCTTCAACACAGTCCTGTTCATTTTTTTCTTCAAATTCAACTTCACCCATATTTTCAGGCTGCTGCGCAGTTGGCTTCAGATTACTCATTTTCTTCAGCTGCATATGCAAATGGTACATTCATAAAAGTCGAGACAGGAACACAATATGCTCGAGACAAATTACAAAATGTATCCTGTTACAATCATTCCTGTAAACACTTCAGAGGGTGTTCATAATTTTGAACTACAGGTGTGTCTATTAAAGAAAAATAAAACTCGATACAAGAGTCAGAAAAATATAAGCTGTAGTTCTGATCGAATTTTATATGAAACGGGGCATAGAAACATCCATGTAACAGGCCCAAATAAGATGCATGGAATAATTGGCGAACAAGAGTTAAATTGATTCAAAGGAACAGCGAAATTGGAGGTTAAACACACCTTAGCGACGAAAAACCCATCCATGTTGTGGACATGGGGATAAAAGCGCCTTGTCTTATCTAGGGATGTATGAAAACGGTGCCCCCTGAATCGAATAAATCTGGTAGTATAAATAAAAAGATTGTCAGATTACAAATGATCCAATTGTATATAACTGTTATACGGATAAACATAAGCGGTTACCCTGGACGTCCGAAGTCGAGCCCACAAGGCACAAGCTTCACGTTCCTCTTCTTGAGTGCATAATCAATGACAGCTTCATTCTAAAAACATTCAATTGTTAAGAACCAAAACAAAAGGGGGGAAAAAAACGGAAGGCTATATGGCTATAAGATTCAATAGATGTTCAAGAAATTACGGACCTCGGCAACCATTATAGAGCATGTAGAGTAAACAATGTATCCACCTGATTTTGAGTTTGCGTCCACACTATCTATAGCTGCAAGTATTAATTGCTGCCCACAGAACATAATATTTAATTGCCGATAACTAAACATTGCCTTGGGCACTGAAGAAGTTTTCATTTCCAAGTAGTGGTGGGTACAAATTCCCGTAATTTAAAGCACAAAGGATACATACCTTTTGCAGGTGGGCACAATTTTGTATCTCTAGTTCACTTTTCGAGGTTTTCACGGACTCATCCTTAGATATAACCTGCAAAATTAAAGGAAAACTACATTACTCTTCTTCCCATGGTGATGAAAAAGAATCTAAAAACATGGACTTTGCAATGAAGCTAGATTGCATACTCCAGTGCCACTGCAAGGGGCATCCAGTAAAACCCTGTCAACTGAGTTGTTCCCCAAAATTGTTGGCAGCTGCAGTTAAGATGAAAAGATAAACATTATATTGAACTACAAGGAGAAAGATCTTTATACATACAAAAGAAATAAATCGTCATATGGAATGAATCAGGAAATATAGAGCAAGATTATCACCTCTCTTCCATCATAGTTACAAACGATAGTGTTAGTTACGCCCATCCGGTGAATGTTCGCGGTGAGTGACTTGAGCCTTGACTCCTTCATTTCATTTGCATAAATGATACCTTTTTTAGAAAATTTAAATCGAGTCAGTTGTTTCACAAAATCATTAAAAATAAAAAAGAAGAAAGAAACAGGCACATCGAATGATGATCATTACAAAGTCAGGTATAACCTTCCTTATTTTATATATTTCTTTTTTTATCTTTCCTTTTCATTTTTGGTAAGCGGCATGCAATTAATTATAAAATTATGAAAGTAATAAGAGCAAAAAATGGCCTGGCGGGTGTGAATTATACAATTAACAATGAAAAAGCTTCATGACTACTCACTTTTTGTATCATATGTACTTCACCAAATAAAAAGTATATTTCTTCTAAACATGTGCTTCCAAATATATTTCGTAGGTATAACTTAATCAAAAAGGTTTCCCCATTCAAGATGTGTAAAAAAGATAAAAGATCTTTTGCAATTCAATTTTGAAGCACACGAATTAAGTTCTAAATTTATTTAGGAAAAAGAAGTATCACTCATTATTTGATTCCAATAAGTTCCTCACCAGTATTTTTCATAAGAGCAGCAATATAGGTAGTTTTCCCACCAGGAGCAGCCCTACAAACACACTGAATCAGAAGGGCAAGAAGTCGAGAACTACAAGGTCAAGTTGTAAACACCAGAGTTCCATCATGTATACATGATCATCACTGGATAACAGAACTGTTTCGGAAATGAGTGAAACTCTTTTTATAGCACCCTCGATGAAGTCCAGGTTCAGGTAACCAGGATTTATGACAATGAAAACTCATCGCACAAACAAAGGCAAGAGCGAAAGGGCTTAAAGAACAAATATGCTTGACGTGTGCAGCAGAAAAATGGAGAACAGAAGAAAATTAGAGCTGCAAACTGAAAGAAGATTATTACAGGAAATGAATCATACCATCAGAAGAAACAGAACAGATTTGCAAACAAAGAAGTTACACAATCAAAACAGTTATGAAAAAAATAAGAAATACTCACGCCATGTCAACAATTTTTTCCTTTTCTTGAGGAGCAAGGGCCATCACAGGCAAAAAGGAGCTTGCACCTTGAAGCTGTAACAAATAAACCCATAATCATTACGTGGTAAACTTAACTAAACTGTAAGAAACCTACAATCAGAATGTACCATGTAGTGACCAGCCATATACTCTGGAGTGGCCCCAATCGGAACTTGTGAATCATATACAACCAGACCGACCTATGAGAAAACACAGGAGTGCCATAAACACAAAATGAAATAAATGTGATGTGCACATTATATATTATGATATATTACCATAAACATGTGGAAAATCTTACTTTTGACCATTTGCTCAGTGGATCAAGATTGACACCTCTGTTCAATAAAATACCAGCCAAATCTCTCCGACGAGTCTAAATATCATTAGAGAAATATCAACACTATGCAACTTGTTCCGTAACAGATCTTTTACTAAATCTCATGGCTAAAGGTTTTTTTAAAGAGAATACAATATATACCTTCAAAGTGTTTGTGCGAAGACATATAGGCCTTGGCTTCTCAAAAGCTTCAATAAGTTCCATAAGTTCAACGACTGGAAACATCTGAGCAAAGATGGAAAATAATAAAAAATAAATAAATAAATCAATAACTAAATGCAACTTCAAATAAAAATCATGAAAGTGGTTCAATATCCAGAACAAGTAAAACAACCTCAATCAAAGCTTCAATCAGAAACTCATTGTATCCATAGTATGATCCTAAATCCCTTTTAAGCTGATCGACATAATCCTTGCGTGCCACTCCCTCTTGTCTCAAAGTATTAAAGTTCGAAAGAACACGCACGACTGAAGTAATAACCCAAACCTCAACATAAACCAAAGATAATTCAAACTAACAAAAAAATGTATTAAACCAAACGTACTCTCTTTTATCCTTCTCTGAAGGTTCGAAAGATCAGGGGGCCTATTTGCCTCTTCTTCAAGCTCCTGCATTATCAAAAAAAGATAAAATAATAAAAAACTAATAAACATTGAAAGTTTCTTTTCAAGATAATAGAGAAACGTAGTAATCCAAACCTCCGGAGTTGGTAATGTGAACTCATCAGCTTCTTCTCTAATGTTAAGCTGTAACTCCTCTTCTGCATCTGCTTTTTCCTGCTTCCTTTCCTCATCAATGGCTCTTGCTTTCCTTTCGATATCAGACTCGTCAGAATCTGAATCTGCATCCTCACTAGCATCCTTACCTGCATCCTCCTCTACTAGAAGAAATGAGTAAGTAAACATCATAATAAATGTAAAGTAATACCAAGAATGATCCTCATAAGCTAATTAACATTACAAAACACCACTGGAAAAAGAAGTACCTTTATCACCTTCATCCTCACTTCCAAGGAGTATATCATGGGCAAAAGGATCGTCATCATCAGATGACATTTCTGAAAGAGATTCAGTGTTATCTTGTTCTTCCACATCAGATTCTTCCAGTTCTTCGGGTTCACAACTGCCATCTGAATCACTACTGAGCAAGTCTTCTTTCTCTGCTTCTTTCTGTAAAGTAACTTCGGCCTTTTGCTTCTTCCTTGGAGGAGGATCTAACAACTTAGCACTCTTCTTTTTCTTATTGAGTATAAAACCAGCCATTGAACTGCATAAAATGTGATCTCCAAAAATTATCTCACTTTATATACATGAGAAGAGAATAAACATTACAAGTTCACCAAAGAATGTCGACATTCCTCTGAATCACCTACGAACTGTCTGATACACGCTGACTGTTAACAAATCAACCAATTTCAGATGTAATTACAATTCAACAGAAAAACGTTCATCAAAGATTCACCAAGCTAAACAGCATAAGAACAGGCGAAAACTAGGGCATTGAATTCCTAATACAAATGCACAAACACTAGGCCAAACACAATTACACAAAGCAAGGGCCGCATGATCATCGAAAAGTCCAGTAAATACCATCAATTCAACAATAAAATTCCAAAGTTCCATTAACAAGCTAAAATTAGGACGGTTTTCAAATGAAACCCTATTTCCAGATTTACTCAAAGTTAACTTCTTTATCGTCATTTCCGTTTTTTTCTCCAGCAGCACTCGCACAAATGGAGCAGGAACCAGAAAAAATATAAAGAAAAACTGGAAGAGAAAGAGAGCAAAAAGAACATGAAGCTGACTACTTACTCTCGTGCGGCAGATGAGCTCTCGGCTGCTTGATTGATAGTATTTATTTATTTAAGACGAAAATAACAGGAGGCTTCAAAATGAAGGTTTTCTCTATACTCTGTTTGTGTTCGAGAGGGCGGAGGAATTAGACAAGGGTAGGGTTTTAGGGTAAAGTGACCTATGTGTTATTTCTTCACCGGGTGTATTAATTTAAACTTATGAAAGAACATTTTAAAGTGAATGGTAGATTTACCGACAGAGAGGTTGATTTATGTGGTAAGCAACTTATTGTCGTATAAGCAAGATCTCGAGTTCGAATTCTTGTGGAGGTAGAAAATCAAGATCTCGGGTTCGAGTCCTTGTGGAAGTAGAAAATCTTTGTTGGGAGACTCACCCACCATTGTCAGGTGTGCAACCCGGATTGACCAACGGATTAGTCAGGGCAACGCTACGGATACCGTCGCTGGTTAAAAAAAATGAATGGTAGATTTGTCCTAATGATTTTGGTGAACTTTTTAATTTTTTTATATTATTATTATTAGTCTTTTAAAAAATTTTCATCATGGACTTTTTTAAAACTTATTGGAATATACATAATTATAATGTAACTATTACGTTTGCATTAAATGTTTATGAACCTTGCATTATAATAAATATCAATAAAATCAAGTCAGTTTATTTTTATATAACAAAATACTAAATTGAAATGGGGTATGATAGTAAACGCAGTTGTTCCACGAAGAAAGAAAAAAAAAAACGCATCAGTTGTGTAGTTAAAAGATGAATAAATAATCTTCTAAAAATTGTGAATCAACCACAAAATTGTTATTCAAACTGAGTTGTTCGCGAACAACTATGTTCTCGTGAAGGCTCAAGATCGGTGTTGATGAACGTTTTCGATCAACGGTTAATTAGATTGAATGTTATTTTTTACTGGATTTTGGATGGATTATCAGGAAAAGTTGAATTATGGTTAGCTTGAACTCCCAAAACAAAATCACCGAAAATAAGAAAAGGGACTCCAAGTGATTAGGAATATTCTTGTTCGATCCAGGTCAGACGATTTGTGCTTATAGCTCGGACCAATATGTCATTTCATGTCTATTTTTAGGAAGTTTTTTGTCTAAATTTTGATTATCCTTCTTGGGATCATTACATGATTATTTGTAGTGATCGTAGCCCAGGAACTGTTCATTGAGCCTTACTGTACTCATTTGATTGATTTGACGCGCTTATTTTATGCGTCGGCCTATCATACGAGTCTAGGATTGTCTAACTGTCAGGCTAGATGGCGGAGATGTGATCTTCCATCATCAGGCAACATATAGCCTTTATTTTATTCAATTTCTACTCAGCTGGTAAGCCCATTTCAGGTCTACCCATGCCTCAGTTATCCACTTTTGTGGCCCCTCGCATCTCGGATCTCGAGGATCTGAGGATCGTCCTACGCTTCTAGCTCGGTCCACTGAACATGGGATACTTCTCCTCTCTCTCGTTTGGGCCCACGTTAAATCTGGGGGTCAACATACAAGCCTCCGAGCTTGAACATGTCGCGGTCGACGACTTTTCTGAGGTCTTATTCTAGACTTACTTCTGAATTGATCTGGGCCCTTTCTTTTGGCTAACGTGTCTTCTGAGGTGGTTCGAATCCCCAGGCTCTTAATCATGGCTCCCAAACGGTTTTAGGGTTCGTGGTGTGCTTTAACTTCCATAAATGACTAAAAAGACGTGCAGATAAACTCCGTCTGGTGACGCAACTTTGATCTAGGCTATTGATCGAGTTCTTTACACTTTTGATTTTTGAAGCATCGTTCTATGCGGGCTTTCACGAATGAATGGTTACTTCTCTAATTGGGCCTTTATCTTCTTTCCTTCTTTCATTTCCTTTACTTTTACAACTTCGTTCCTTTATCTGCAAATTCGAAGTTCTTATCTTGCAACCAGTCGACAAATCGCTGGTCGCCTAAGACGTCCCTCGTTCCCTTAGATTTCCTGACTTTCTTTGTTAAAAATCAATTTCATATCCATTATTCTTTCTTGTCAAAGTTTTTTTGTCGAAGGGATGGTTATCTCGTCTTCGTTGGCGACTGAGAATCAGGATTTGGCGTTAGTCAGAGTGTCATGTGGCCATGGAGACGCCTACTTAGGTGATGAACCCAGGCAATCATAGTCGACTCCACCCAGTATTCGGGACTGACCACATGAGAGTTGGGCCACCCAACCCTATCTAGAAACTAGGTAGATTTCTAGCACACTATCGGAGGTTGACATTCTCCAGATGAGGAATAATTTTCGACTCTCGCAGAGCGTAAGGATGTACATTCTGTATCTAGACCCCCGGATTTATAGTCCTCCCAAGGACTGTGTTGGAGTGTTTAAGCACAACTTAATATTCGGGTTGTGATTCCCGTTATCTCAAATTCTAGTTGAATATAGTTGGGACTGGGGGTTCGGGTTCAGTCAGTTCCATCCCAACAATCGGGCCATGATCATCAGTATTCTGGGCTTGTACCATCAAAGTGGGTGGCCATATCCGACCACTAAAGAGATTAGGTGCATGTTCTTATTTTGGGAGACTAAGAAGAATTCGGGTTTCTATTACTCCGTAGCTCAAGAGAAAGCTTATTCTCGCGTTTTTTAGGGGGTACTCAAGACTCTAAAAGAATTCCAGCCTGAGTGGTTTTGGATCGGCGGCGATTGGAAATCGTCCATACGAGAGGAGGATAGACAATCAGAACTTCATTACCCCGTCCTTAATTGTTTCGTCACTTGTTCCGGTGAGTTCTTTCTTATTTTCATTTCCCTTCCTCCGATGCATTTCATTTTCTACGCTAGCAGGTCGACTTAACGCCTTTGTAGAAAATAAGACGCTCAACCAGTTCCAGAACTCAGTGACAGCTTCGCCGAGAAATTCAGTTATTGCTTCACCTTGGGAAGTCAGATTGTAATTGGAGAAAACTAGCCACCAATAATCTCCTCTTATCCAATGGACTGTGTTCACATCCAAATACATTCAGTCATCAGACATGTCGATAATTTTCCTCTACGTTTTTCTGTTTTAGATATATCGGTTATTTTGAACTTCGCTTTCTTCATGAATAGTTTGTTATCAGTTGACCGACTTCAGAGGCTTTTGCACCCTTGGCGAGGCTCTCTAATTCAATCGACGCCATCCCAGGCAAATAAAAAAATGGGCGAATATAGACCGTACCATATTTATTGGCCAAAAGAAATGAGCCAGGAAGGCGAGCTCGAGCTTTGGACTTCGCGCCTGAACAACGGACTTCTCCTGTCATCGTTGCCCAGTTTCCCCCAATCGAACCAACAGTCGCCAATGCCCAAAGGGACCATAGCCCTATTTTTGCATCGACCCTTACCATTCTAGTCATCCCTTAGCGGGGTCGGATTGAGATGGTCGAGATCTCTTTGCCTGAGAAGTCGAAGAGTCTAGAGAAGAATAGAATAAAGATGCGGGCCCTACTTAAAGGACCCAAGGGAGGGCCAGACAAAAGTTACAATTAGCAGGAGCCTTGGCCAGTGAAGAAGAGGCCCCCGTACACCAAGATGGATCTTTTACTTTTCTCTCGCTTAACTCGGAGAAAGAGAAGAAGGTGGTCGAGATGATTAGAGTGGAATTCGGTTGGCTTTCTCAGTGTAGGATGGTAGATCCGTTTGAACTGCCCAACGAATTTCACCTCCTCAAGCACACAATGGATGCGTCTCGGGTATCGTTAATGAGTTGAGATATCGATGCCGAACAGTGGATATCGGCCTTTGCCGTGTTTGAGCGGCTAACGTTTACTGTGGGTGCACTGGTCGCGCGTTAACGAACATCAGTATGTTGGCCGGTCAGATTCAAGAGTCGGAGAAGAGCTACTCGTTGATAAATGCTGAATATGCTCTTTGTTGGGGAATGCTCGCCTCTCTCGAGCTGGCGGTTGAGGAGGCTTGCACCTTGGTCGTGATGTCGGAGGCACCCAAATTAACCTTGCTTAATAATATGCAGTAGCGTGAGTAAGGATCGTATATACGGAGAAGTAAACGAAATCTATCAACTATGTGATTAAAAAGGGGGAATTTGAAAATTGATTATTTTGTTGCTTTCAACTTTATTTTTTTTTTTAAAAAAGAACAGAATATTAAAAGTGACCAAAATATATAATAATATATGATTTTTTTATATTTTTATATAAATATATTATTTATTTATAGATAAATACAAATATAATATATTAAATAATAGGTACTAAATATATTTTTATAATATAAATAATTTAATAAACGCTGAACAATGTTAATTAAAATAAACATTATTATTTTATTAAATCTAAATGCACAGGAAAAAAAATTCCGCTCAGTATACTGCACAATAATATAGACTAAATGCACATTAATGACTCCATAGATGCACATTATCAATTTCAATATTTGATATATAATGTTTTTTCAACCAAAAAATAATATAAGATATTAAATAAACTTATTAAAATACTAAAATATTATTAATATAAATAATTCATTATTTCGATTATCTAGGATAAATCGGTTAACCGACCAGATGAACCAAATAATTCATTCATTTTTAATTTATTTTGAGATAGAATTTTGGTCGGGTCAAGCTGGATGATAGCGACCAAAACCTTGCACAATAGGGTAAGACAAATTGCACATTAGTGCGTGACAGACTGCACAATAGCGACCGAACCAGATCGATATACCATTTTTGATTCAAATCTGTATATGTTTTTACTTTAAAATTTTCAATTGTTTCATCCAAAACAAAAATATAAATTATTAAATAAAAATATTAAAATCAGCACCAATCGATAACTATTATTATGCATTACGATAGTGCGTATACATGTTGGCATTTTTAAATTTTTAATATGCATATACACACACTATTGTCCACTTTATATATCTTTCTTGTGGATTGCACTGAAACAATAATGTGTAATCATTATTTATTTCTTTATTTTTAATAAATTACATGATTAACCCATCAATTATGTTGAACTTACTAAAATTCATGAAAATCTAATATGCAAATCCATACAAAAATTCCATAATCTATTTATCAATACACTACATTTATTATATATATATATATATAGTATCTATCTATATATATATAATTGCTAGCTAATCATTAAATAAAACCTCATAAATAAAACCTAATTAATAAAACCTTATTTATTTTCCCTCCAAAAGAAGTTACAAAATTTAATGTCATTCATATTTTGCTTTTCAAATTAATACACCCTATTAAGTGTAATCATGTAAAAAAATTAATTGCATTAACTATTATATAATATTTTCGGAAAAAAAACTATTATATAATATAATAGCAAAAAAAAAA